TCTCTCTCTCTCTATCTCTATCTCTATCTCTCTCTCTCTCGTCATCCCTCTATTGTTTTTCTCTCTCTTTTGTTTTAGTACTGTCTCTATCTGCCACCCCCTCCCCCCTCTTTCCTTCTCTCTTTCTCTCTCTTTATTTATCTTCCTCTCTTTGTGTTTAATTATTAATTATTGATCTCTGTCTTTATCTGCCCCCCCCTCTCCCGTTCCCTCTGCTTGTCTGTCTCTCTCTCCCCACCCCCTTCTCTCTCTCTCTCTCTCTCTCTCTCTCTCTCTCTCTGTGCGCATGCCTCGTATTATAATCATTGTCTCTATAGTCTACATGTGTCTAATTCTGCGCAAGTGTTGTCTCCCTAGAACTTTTCCCGACTACTACTCTCTTGTCCTGTTTCTACTGGCGCTCTGTTAGTGTTAGTTCAGCTGGTATCAGGTTGAACTATGAAGCCGACGGCCCTGGTTCGAAACCCAGAACGGTCTTTTTTTAAACTGTCATTTTGTAGCGATTTCAAGGCTCTCTGACCATTTGTCTCGGTCCAATCGGAGACGGACGCATACGTCAGAGGTTCTACCTCTTAAACAACCTACGATTGTTGAAAGGGGCGTTGATAATGATAAATCCATACACTTCTGTCCCCATCTGTCAATCATTAGTTACAGGCTGTCCCGACAGAATTATGCAGATTTAGATTGCCAAATTATGCAAGAAAAATGCAAAATTATGCAAAAAGTATGCAAGTTACCGTAAAACCATTCGCGACATGTTTTGCACTTTTCTAAAAGAATTTTCATGTTTTATGTACAGAAAAAATGAAAACAGAACATATCAGTATCAGTAATTTTTTGTGTATTTGGGGGGAAAAAACAATACACATCAGTCAGAAAAAAAATCCACAAAAATATAATCTCTGTAACTTTCAGCTCTTGATCTAGAATCTAGATCTAGATCTCTAGATATATAGAGGTAAGAAAAATTTTTTTAAAATTTTTTTTAAAAAGGACATCTTGACCTCTGATGTTGGCACATCACTAAAACCAGGGACACCTGGCAAACATGAAACATCAGCTGTCATGAGAACAACTTTTGATGACTTGAAAAATTGAACATGCTCAAGGAACAAAATCCCTCACCCATAACCATTAAACCAAGATCTTCTAAAAAGGGAAATAACCAACCTGTCACTTAAATGAGACTTATTACGGTGATTACTTCTCTTTAGTCCTTATGGTGAAGCGTTAAATAATATTGTTTTGTGAAAAATGATTTTTTTAAACATGTAAAAAACGCGGGGAATCTAACTTATGCAAATTATTTTAAAAACGCAGCTGCGCCGCGGCTGCACAATCGCATAATCCAACAGAGACAGGCTTACGGGGTACAAAAACTTCCTTCTCTATAACAGGATTCAGTTATAGTTATAACAGTGATATCTCATCTGTCCCATCCCATCGATCCTGTTTTTGCCGAGGTCTGCGGTTTGTTGACGGGAATAACAAATTTTGTTGTCTGTTGAACCCTTTCTCTTTACTAGGAGTACGCTATCGGTAGATATGAGGTTCACTGTAAAGGCATTCACAAGTTTACAACGCTACAGCTAATCATACCCCTGTGCTAATTCCCGTAGTTCCTTTCGAAAGGCTTGCTTCGCTTATTAGTAAATATCAGCTTTGGAATTTTCATTGAGATGAACGAAGACTTGTTAATGCTATTATGTTTATGAACGAAAGTAACAATGACCAATGTTATACTGTAGGCCTCACTAGGACTGTAAGTTTCAACTCTACGACGATTAGTTGTAAGCTAGCAAAAAGTCCATCATAGCGTCCCTTTCATTGTTAGCTTGTAAGATAAGGTAAACTATATTATTATATTGACCCAACATTTGGCAAAACGTGCAGTGTGCCCTCACGAGATCTGTGACACAGAACATCATCTCAACACATCACATCACCCCCCTCCC